GAGGACACTATCACCTTACTGGTGGTCTTGGGTTAAAGCCGCTTGCCTTCTTGTCCTATTAGAAGATATTTTCCTGTTTGCTCCCCTCTGGACTGCAAAGTGTTTTCCCAGGTGGGTCCAGTGGGGATGGCTGGTTGAACCCAGAGGCTCCATCCTCCTTTGCTTCCTTAGCTGGCAGTTGTATTTCCTTTTTGTCACTGGCACTGGGTTCAGGGTCAGGTCTGGAGCAAAACTCAGTGTTAAGGATACCCATAGGAAAGGGAGCAAACCTAGAGAGAACAAATTTGTGAGTTACAAATAGAAGGGCTTTGGGGGTGTTGCTTTCAGGTTTACTGGGGGAGAGGGTGGCAGAAAGTAGCCTAGATAAAATTCTCTGGATACCCTAGGCATTTTTTTGGTTTTGTTTTCCCCATCCAAGGGTCAGATGGCACAGTCTGGGGACTGAGGAGCTCACCCTGAGGGCCGTGAAGGCTCGCCCTGAGCCGAGGGCCGAAGACAGCCCACCCCAGGCAATACTCATTCATTTTAGCATAATTTCCTTCCTTCCTCTCTCCCATTTCTCCCCTCCGTCTTCCATCGTGGTTGTAACATTTTACAAAGCTATAATTTCATAGCTTCAGTCACCTTCTGTGATTCCAGAAAGTCTAGTGTCCATGAAAATTTGCAGTTCTGTTCTGCATTGAAATTCATGTTCTGATCCCCCTTTTGATTAGTATTATTTTTTTAAAATCTTTGATTAAAAATTTATACAGTAATGGTGATTGGGCACTAGCCAAGTCTAATTTCATAGCAAAGGAGGTCTTTTCTCCTCCTATTCTAGGTACTTCTCATCCTCTGTTGCATAGAAACCAACTACTATGTCTTGTATAGCTTTTATGAGTTTTAAGAACCCAGGTACTATGAAATAAGTTAGGACGTTAAACAGAATTAGTAAACACAGTGTTAGGCCAACTAACTGGAATATTCCAAGAAACCATGACCCTAAATCTTTAGACCAAGGAACTAAATCTGATAAGGTATTTGGTTTTACATATGCAGTCTTAGCAGCTAGTTTTCATTGTTAGCATCCCACAACCTTTGCTTGTTCACCTTTTCACAGGTGTACAGTTTCTTGACAGTTTGTGTGCGTACGTGTATTGTCGAGTCAGATCTAATTGGCACAGGAGGAGATTGCCCCTCCTTCTCCAGTGGGGCATCTGGTGGATTCAAACTGCGTGCCTTCGAGATTGCAGCACACCTTCTCACCACTAGGCCACCAAGCTCCCTTTGACACAGTTTCTTTAATAGCTATTGTAGCCCTACCCTTAATGTGAGGATTTTTCCCCATCACCATTATTCCTCCACACCCTTTGAAACCACTAATTTTTTACTATATAGATTTGCCTTTTCTTTTTATAAATGAGATTATGCAATATTTGTCCTCTAGTTAAGAAAACAAAACCCCTCAACACTGGACTCGACAGCACCCAACAACATTTAACAACAGTACTTCATCTAATTCACTCAGCATGATGTCTTCAGGCTCCATCCACGCCATGGCATGTGTCAAGACTTCATTTGTCCAAATAACTGAGCAGTATTATATTGTGTGCATACACTGTATTTTGTTCATTTATTTGTTGAATGTTTATTTCCTCCTTTTGACTATTATGAATACAGCTGTAATGAACATTAGCATGCACATCTCTTTTTGAGTCCCTGCTTTCAAGTCTTTTAAATGTGTACCTACAAGTGGCATTTCTAGGTCATACAGCAGTTGTATTTTTGCTTTTTTTTGAGAACCTGTCGCACTGTCTTCCACAACCCCCGTAACAGTTATGTATTCTCACCAGTAATGGATGCTCAAACTAAAAATCAAGTCCATTGGCCACCGACTTGTTTCACCTCATATTGGGTGGTCCTCCATTGGGTTTCAGAGGCTGTAAATTTTAATGGGAGGAGCCACTGCCCATCTTCCTCTCAGAACAGCTGGTGGGTTCCAACTGCTGACCTTTGGTTTGCAGCCCAACACTTAAAACCAACTCTGCACCAGGACTCCATCATAATGGATAAGGGTTTCGATTTTCTCTGCTCTTTGTCACCATTTTTTATTTTCTATTTCTTTTATCATTACCATCCTAATGTAATTTAAATGATAACTCATTGTGCTTTTAGTTTGCATCTCTTTGAAGGATAAGGAAGCTCAACATCTTTTCATGTGTTTGATGACCATTTAATAAAATTGCCGCCCAACTTTGGTTTCTTTTTTCAAGATTGCCAACTATTTTTCTTGTAACTTGTGATAATTAAAGTCTTTGACCCACCAACAGCTTGAGTGGAAGCAGATGTGACAGTCTGCTTCTTTGAAAGGATTTAAATCTTAGAGGCTCTCTTGGGGCAGGCTTCCTCTCTCCTGCAGGGTGACTGTGACTTAGAATTAACTCAGTGGCAGTGGGTTTGCATTTCATTATGAATGTTAGGGTCCATTTAATTTCTGCGAAAAAGTCAGCTACAATTTAATTTCATTGAAGCCATTTGGGGATTATTGCTGTCTTAATAGTAAGTCTTTTGATCTGTGAACATGTCTTTCCATTTCTTTAGATCATCTTTATTTCAGGGAGTTCTGGTGGCCTAGTCTGCAGAAAACTACACTGCTAACCCAAAGGTGTCACTTCTCTGGCTATTTGAATCCACCAGCAGCTCCACCAGAGCAACACAGGCAGTCTCCTTCCGTGCAATTTACTGCCTCCCTCAAACTCACTGGAGGATCACCTATGAGTTGGTTCACACTCCATGGCTGTGAGTTTGAATTTTGAGTTTATTTTAACAGGGCTGTTGTAAGTTTTAATAAGTAAGTCTGGCCATCCTTTTGTGAGATTTATGCCTGTGTATTTTATTCTTTCTGATGATACAGTGAATGGAATTTTTAAAAATTCCTTTTCAAGGGAGCTCTGGTGGCCTAGTGGCAAGATGCTGCACTGCAATCCCAGAGGTACGCGGTTCAAATCCATCAGATGCTCTGCTGGAGAAGGAGGGGGCAATCTCTTCCTGTACCAGTCAGATCTGATTTGACGGTACACGTAAAAATAATACAATAAAAATTTTTTAAAAAATCCTTTTCAGTGTATTGATTGCTGGAGGGTAAAGACAGTTGTATGTAGTTCTTATGTCCTATAACCTTATTGAATTTCCTTATTCAAGTAGGGTTTTTGTTTGGTTTTAATTTTTATTTTATTATTTTTGTGTGAGTGTACCGTCAAATCAGATCTGACTGGTACAGGAAGATATTGTCCCTCTTTCCCCAGCAGAGCATCTGGTGGATTCGAACTGTGCACCTCTGGGATTGTAGTTGCAGCTCCTTGCCACTAGGCCACCAGAGCTCCGCTGTTTGTTTTTAATTTTCAAGTAGGGTTTTTTAGTAGATTTTATAGGATTTTTTTTATCCTAAAGATTATGCCATCCACAAATACAGCTCTATTTCTCCCTTTTCAATATATATGCCTTTTATTTTTCACGCCTAATTGTCCTGACTAGAACTTTCAGTATAGTGCTCAGTAAAAGTGATCAGCACAGACATCCATGCTATGCTCAGAAGAGAGGGTTTTGAACACTTTGACTCTGTTTCGGTCTCCACTGCCAGTCTGGGACCTTGTCAAGCTCACTTGTTGCAGTCCCTCAATTGAACAAGGATAAGATTATTTTGAAAGGGCCTTTCTGTTCATTGCTTCTGTATACATCTGTGTCTCTTGTATTCTTCTCTCTAGGGTGGGTCTTTTGAATTTTTGCTAGAACATCTTACAAACTTTACTAAGTTTACTTGGAAATATTTTCAAGTTCTTTTTCCATACCTAATTTGATTAACTTTGACTTCCATAATACTGAACAACCTAACTTAAAAGGAAATTTCTGAAATTGATAGATGCAAGAGAAATATTTTTGGTTTTTTTTTCCTTTACCTTGTCACTCCTTTTTTTATTGAAATTTTAATGAAAGTATACAGAGACTTTGGATTTCCATTAATTTATTGCTGCAGATTTTCCTCCCTGCCCATCCCTCCCCCAGTTCGCTTTTCTCTTTGAATAGGGGGGGAAAATTCTTTCATTGTTATATAATTGCCCCTCCTCAGTCCACTACACTATGCAGCTCTTATTCTGGATTCTTGTCATGAAAATAATACCTAATCATATATTCTTTTTAAACAGTTCTCTTCCTCATCTCTTTCAATGCAGTATACATTATTTATCCCCTCTTTTCTTAGGTTCCCCCCAACCCCGATGTCAGTCCTGTTTTATAACAGTGGCACTATGCAATATTTGTCTTTTGTGATTGAGATATTACACTCAGCATAAAGTCTTCCAGGGTCACCCATTTTGTTTAATGTTCCTTGTTTTTCAATGTGGCGTAGTATTCCATTGTGTGAATATACCACAGCTTCTCTATCCATTTGTTTGTGGATGGGCACTTTGGTTGTTTCCAACTCTGCTATTGTGACCTAAGCCACAGTGACCATGGATGTGCATAGATCTGCTTGGATGGCAGTTCTGATTTCTTTAGGGTATATTCCTAGTAAGGGGATTGCTGGGTCAAATAGTATTTCTATTTCCAACTTTTTGAGAAAGCACCATACAGCCTTCTATAGTGGTTGCATCATTTTACACTCCCACCAACAATGAATAGGGGTTCCAGTTTCTCCACAACCTCACCAGCATTTGTTTTTTGCTGCTCTGTTGAATTTTGCTATTGTTACTGGAGTGAGATGATGCCTCATAGTTGTTTTGATTTGCATCTCTCTTAGAGGTAGGGATTTTGAACACTTCTTCACGTGTTTGTTTGCCATCAGAATGTCATCTTTGGTGAAGTGAAGAGAAATGTTTAAATGGATCCATAGTTCTTTTTCTTTGAAACTTAGAAGCCAGAAAAAACCAAATATTTTGAGAAGATTCCTCAGATCCACAAGAGATAAATGAACCACAGCTTCTTCCTGCCCACCCTCTAATAATAAGTGCCTTTTTTCTTTTCAGACTCCCAGCGTTCTCATCTCTCTTCCTTCACCATGAAGCTGATGGACAAATTCCATTCACCTAAAATCAAGAGGACACCATCCAAGAAGGGAAAACCAGCTGAGGTGTTGGTGAAGAGTCCAGAGAAGCCCTTGAACAAGGTAAGCTTACTCTCCAGGCATTTCTCCTGGTCTCTGCCTACTTCCTGTGATACTAGTTTGTGCTGTTTTTATTTCCCTGAAAGTTGAACTTTCACCTGTTCCATAGCACTCCACAGTTCCAGGCAGGGCCTTCATCATCCTTGGAAAATATGAATCTTTAGAATGGTGAATAATTGTCATGTTACCCAGAGTCAAGTTCAGTTGGCTAGAGTGGTTCTCATTTTCCAGCTGTGTCATCCTCTGGGCATTTAAAATAGCTCAGTGCATCATGTTCACACCCCAGAAGGCTATATCCATGCACAGAGATATCCTGGTACGCACACACACTCTGGGAATTTTATGGTATTCAGATTATCAGTCATTTGGTTTTAAAGAGTCTCTGCTCTTAAACATACAAAACCTTTGGAACTGAGCCAAAGATGTTCTCAAGCACCACTAACGTCAACAGGGCAAGTCAAGCCAGATTTGTTGAGACAGCTGTTGAGTTTCATCAACCCCTCCCTTAAGCTTAAAACAGCCAACCATTTCAAGCTCTGTAGGAATCTAGGTTTCCTCTCTTCCAGGAGGCAACAGACAGATTTCTACCAGAGGGCTACCCTATCCCCTTGGATCTGGAGCAGCAGACAATAGAATTTATGTCCACCAGTGCTGTGGCTTCCAGGTCTCAAAGGCAGAAGGTCAGTGTAATGTTAAGAACAATTGGGTTTGCCTTGCCTTCTACTGCAGAATCCTGATCCCACGGTTTGGGGGATGGGAACAATCTATTGCATTATTCTTATGAACTTAGTGTTTGTTGAATGGGTGGCATCTGTGGGACCAAGAGGCCTTGAATAAAAGCAAGAATTTATCCAAGTCCTCATGGTCTTTGGAAAGAGCTCAGTCCTCAGTGGTGAAAGCTCAGGGATCTTTTCTTGGGTTTGTCTGGGTATGCTGCTTGGGTCCAACGGGTTCCAGGAAGAAGTGGGTGAGTCTAATTTCTCAAGGCCAGCTGTTCTCCTTGAATTGCTAAGATGGCCTGAATATTTAGAAGAGGAAAGGCTTTTAGACATCTAGATGTAGCAAGATTCATGGAGTATTGTGAAACTGCCACATGACCAAGTGCATTCAGAGCTGACAAACATTTTGTGTTGCTTTCGTCCAGCCTTTTTGTTGTCCCGTGCCTTGTGCTCTAAAGTCACTAACCATTCTTAATCTGCCTAACAGCCCTCTGAAGAAGAAACTTATCTGGCAGGAAGGGAAACTGAAGCTTTAGGGATATTAGCATTTACTGAAACTCATACAGCACAAAGGTGGGAAACGTAGATTTGAATAGCAACCATTTGACCTCTAAGTCTGAATTCTCATGATGCTTTAGTTCCCTTTTATGAACGTCAGAGTCAAAGATGCCAGAGTGATGCAGTGGTTAAGCTGTTGGCTGTCAAATAAAAGGTTGAAGGTTCAAATTCACCAGCTGCTCTGCAGGGAAAAGATCTGGCTTCCATAAAGTTAACACCTGGGAAAGCTGATGTCTGATATTAGTCAGAATGGACTCATTAACAGTAAGGTTTTTTGGAGTTTGAAAGCAAGATTTTTAAGAATAAATATCTCATAAATCTAGATGTTAATTATAACTCTTTTAATTGTCTATAAAAAAAAGTACAAGGTAAAAACAGGCCTTGAAGTCAAATAGAATCTTCTCATAATTATGCATAGTATAATTTATAGTAGCTTTATTGTCATAATCACTGATTTCATGCCAACTCACAAACACTACAAGTTACATAACACATGCTACTTTCATTTTTGCAGTTTACCTACTTACGTTTTTAATGTTGACCAGCAAAATACCTTAAAATTCAAGTTAAAACATAGATTATAAAGATTGTAGGTCCAAAAATGTTAAATTGAATAATAGTTTTTTCTTCTCCATCTGTTAGCAAAAGGAGCCTAAAGATACTCAGTATTTGCCAAATTAATCTAAATTCAGATTAAAGAAGAATGTTAAAATGGGAGATTTCATCTGTGCCACAGTTCCCCCACCCCAAGTTAGGATAAGTTTAGTAACTTCTTAACACTGAGTTTAATTAAACTTAAGAACTATGTTTAAATTTTCCAAGAACTATGTTTACGTTTTCATCTAACATTAGTCTAAGCGGTTCAGGTTAAGGGGATTTACTAATGACTAAACTCAATAAACTATTTCAGTCATTCAGTTCTTGGATTTGCTTTTTTCTTTGTTACCTCAGAAGAAATCGTGGAGGAAGACTTGTTGCTAAAGTACCCTTTTCACTTAGTGAAAGTTCCTGTAAACTCCTGGGGACATTTGACAGTGTCAGAGACATTTAAGTCAGAAGTGAGAGCTCATGCACACCCATGTTTATTGAGGCTTTGTTCACAATAGCAAAGAATTGGAAACAACGCAAGTGCTCATCAACAAATGAATGGATAGAGAAGCTCTGGTATATTCACACAATGGAATACTATGTTACATTGAAAAGCAAGAAACTCATGAAATATTATACAGAATGAGTGACCCTGGAGGACTTTATGCTGAGTGAAATATCTCAGTCACAGAAGGACAAATACTGCATGGTGCCACTGTTGTAAAATGGGACAGACATCAGGGTTGGGGGAACCCAAGAAAAAAGGGGATAAATAATGTACACTGCATTGAAACAGTATTAAGGGAGAGAACTATCTAAAAGGAATATATGATTAGGTATTACTTTCATGACAAGAGTGCAGAATAAGAGCTGCATAGTAAAGTGGACTGAGGAGGGGGGATTGTATAACAATGAAAGAATTTTTTTAAATTTTTTTTTTTATTCAAAGAGAAAAGCAAACTGGGGGCAGGGTTGGGCAGGGAGGAAAATGGGCAAAATGAATGAATGGAAATCCAAAGTCTCTGTAAACTTTCATTTAAAAGAAAAAGAAAAGAGAACTCAAGCAGTTACTACTATCATCTAGTGGGTAGAAGCCAGAAATACTGTTCAACATCCTATAATACACTGGCCCATGACCCTCTCCTCCCAAAATTGAGTTGGCAATCCAAAAATCAGTAGTGCTGAGATTGGAAAACCCTGTTTTATTATCAAAGATCTGTAGGAGTGACATTTACCTAAAAAAGAGTGTCACCCCTCTTTTGGTCACCTCTCTGAGAGAACTGTTTCTTGGTTCATGTCCAGGTTCTGCATGAGCACAATTCAGTGTTCTTGGATTCCCACACTTCTCAGTGTTATCCCGAGTTTGCTATTATCCACATGTCTCACATAACTTCGGGCATGTTGTCAGGAAGGTCCAGATCCTGGAAAAGACATCATACTTGGAAAGGTTGAAGATCAGAGAAGGAAAAGAAAACCCTCAGTGAGATGGATTAACATACTAACTGCAGCAGTGACCTTGAGCAGAGCAGAGATTTGAGGGTGATAGAGGACCAGGAGAGGTCTCTGTCTATTACACATAGGGTCACTGTGAGTTAGAATTGACTCAGTGACACCTAACAGCAGCCACAACCTGAATTACTGTGCTGTACATGAAGTCACCTTCATGAGACAAAGTGAGTGCAAACTTTTCGCTTATAGCAGAGAGCCAAAGATAGTACGAGAAATGTGAAGAAACGTGCCAAGGCAGGCTGAATCTAGAAGACTTCATCAGAATTTTCGCACCATGTGTCTGTGACTTGCTGTCAGTATTTATGAATAGCTTGAGGGTAGTGCAGGATCCAACAGAGTTTTTGTTCTGTTGCTTGCTGTGCCTCAGAACTGACCTAGTGGCACCTGATGTCAGTAACAACAAGCATGTATGCAGCTTTTATGTCATCTGTAGTATATTCACGGATACCTTTCTTCCATGTGCATGGCTGTTCCTTTTTAAATACATGAGAAATTGAAGCTCAGGTCGATTAAGATACAGCTTCAGATTTAGCTCCTGCATATTAAAGATCTACTTTTTTATCCAGGCTCTGTCCAGTATGCTTTCACAGATAATTTTCTTATTTAATCCTCATCATAATCTTGTGAGGCAACATAATTCTCACTCTACAGAGTTTTGTGTCTTGCCCAAGTTTTCTTAATCACAGTCTGTTGTCTTTCTAAACTGGTTTAGTTCATATATATTTGTAGCCTCTTAACATCTTACTCCAGTTTGTAAACTCAGAGCACTCTTTGAGAAATGCATAAACTCTTGCAACTTGAAAAACAAATAAAATAAGCTGTGGAGAATACTAATGTCGTGGAGAAAAAAGAGCCATGGCTGGAACTCAAAAGACCACAGCTCCTATATAAAAGCTATAGCAGAAATAGCTGTTGTTGTATGCACACCCAGAGTTCAGCCCTCTCTTTGCCTCTAACAGCACCCTTCAGTTTCCAGACTCATTTGAGTGTCATTAGTAGTGACACCCAACACCTCCACAACAGGGAGAAGTAGGGCTAGGTGGAGAGAGGATGCATTGTGAGAAAAGGCAATAGTAAAGGCAAAGCATCTGGCTTATAATTCTAGCTAATGCTCTGTGTAGGTGTCTAACACAGAACTTTTCTGGTTGCTGACAATGTCTTTGCAAGAAGCCAGAGTTTAACAGCAAAAGAGCTAAGGGATTGCACAGTCCCCATCATAGGCCATTAATTCAGTAAGTGGAATTTGCTGGAGAGTTAATGGATGAAAACTGACTCTGCTAAATTGTGGGGTCTTTTATTAGACGTCCAGGACAATCTGGTTTTTAAAAGATTTGATCTCTGTAAATGACAGGCAGATTTTCTCTTTAAAATGCCTTCCTGCTTTTCAGCACCTCTCAGTCTCATTTCCCCTTTCTCCCTAGCAAACCTGAGTCACATTTTCTTAAAATGTTGCCTGTTTCCTCACCAAGTTTCATCCTTTCTGACTTTTACACTCTCTGATGTGTAAGATGGCAGTGTTTCTGTGATAGTTTGTCTGCCAGATTGACTGTGATTTAGCTCTGTCTGATGTCTGCAAGCACTAGGATTCCTTCAGATGCTGGTTCCTCTAGCGTCCTATAGGGGATGTGGAAGCATGAGGTAGAGAGTCCTAGCCTCTTGGAAATAAGCAGTAAGTAAACAAATATATCAGATAATAAAGGAGAAAAATTAAGAGGATAGAGAAAAATAAAAGGTGTGATGAGGGTAAGGTTGTTAGGTAAGATCGTGTGAACTCTACCTCACAGTAGCTGTATGAACAACAGATCAAAATCTCGCCGTTATCCTGTGCCAGCCTTGCCATTTCCACTGTACCCAAGCCCGTTGTTGGAGTTGCTATGTCAGTCGATTTCATTGACAGTCTTCCTTTCTTTCATTGACTCTACTTTTCCAAGAGTGGTATCTTTTTCCAAGTGCTTGTGCCTCCTGAAAACACACCCAAATGATGTGAAACAAATTTTCACCATTTTTGCCTCTAAGAAGCGCCCTGATTGCACTTCTGCTAGAGAGTCAAGTTACTTGGTTTTTTTGACAGTCCTTGAGATATTTACTATACTTCACCAACACCCCAAATCAAAGGCATCAAGTCTTTAGTTTTCCTTATTCATTGTCTTGTTAAATTGGGTCTTTTGTTAAAAAGAAAACTGAATAAAATAACTGTTTACCCTTGAACCTTAAGCCTCCTTTTATATATGTTGTTGGATAACCACTGAGTCAGAACCAACTCCAGGAAGAGATTCCCCATCTTTCTCCTGGCCCGTGGTTAAGAA